CACCACCACCACCACCACCACCACCACCACCACCACACCACCACCACCACCACCACCACCACCACCACCACCACCACCACCACCACCACCACCACCACCACCACCACCACCACCACCACCACCACCACCACCACCACCACCACCACCACCACCACCACTGCTGATGTCGTGCTGTGCCGTGGTGTACGTGATGTGAGCAGGGAGGAGGAGGTGGAGCAGGTGAGTGAGGAGTACGACCTGTGTGGCTGTGGTCTTGCTCTTGCCATGGTCTTGCACTTACCTCGCTCTTCATGCATGTGCATTGCCTCCTCTTCCCCCCTCACTGGCAGCGAGGAGGAGGTGCAGCGGGTGAGTGAGGAGTACGACCTGTGTGCGGCTGTGGCCTTGTTTTGAGTCGACTCAAAACACGGCGGTGGCCTTGCGCTTACCACGCTCTTCATGCACGTGCATTGCCTCCTCTCTCCCCTTTTGTTTGCAGCGAGGAGGAGGTGCAGCGGGTGAGTGAGGAGTACGACCTGTGTGTAGCTGTGCCCTTGCTCTTACCACGGTCTTTATGCACGAACATTGCCTCCTCTCCCCTCCTCCCCCCCCCCCACTGGCAGGGAGGAGGAGGTGGAGCGGGTGAGTGAGGAGTACGACCTGTGTGTGGCGGGCGATGGTATTGCCATGCTGCAGCGCTGCAACGCTCTCTCCCTTGTCGTGCCACGAACACAGGTGCGTGTTGTGTGCTGTGCGGTGCGGTTCAGTGCGATGCGGCGCTGTGCTGTGCTGTGCTGTGCTGTGCGGTGCTATGCCTTCCTTTCACCACGAGCCCCATCTCGCTCCCATGTATTCAAGAGCAAGGGCAGGTGGTATTGGCCGCAATAGCTTCATGTACATGCATGGGCATAAGCAGAACTAACAACGTGGCTATGCTTATGCCCATGCATGTTCCAGTCCCTCTTCCCCCCCTCCCTTTCCTCCCCCTCCCCCCCCACATTCCCCCCACTTCCCCCCCACTTCCCCTGCTTCCCTTCCCCTCCTCCCCTCCCACCTCCCTAATCCTTCTTTCCCCTCATCTATCCTCCACCCCCCCAAACCACGCTCAACCAACCCCCATCTCTCCCACAGGTGTTCGCACGTGTGTCACCAGAGCAGAAGGAGGTGATTCTAGCAACGCTCAAGGACGTGGGGCGGGTGACGCTCATGTGTGGCGACGGCACCAACGACGTGGGTGCGCTGAAGCGGGCCGACGTGGGCGTTGCTCTGCTCAACGCTGTCCCGCCTGCCCCTGCCGCCAAGAAGAGCGCTCGGGATGCTGCTGCAGGTGGGGCCCTGGGTGGAGGGAGACGGGTGGATGGGGGGATGGGGGGATGCGTGCTTGGGTGGGTGGCTGGGTGAGCGAGTGGTGGAGGTGCAGGTGGGGGCCTGGGTGGAAGGAAGTGGGTACGTGCTTGTGGGTGGGGCAGGTCACACTTATGTGTGGCGACGGCACCAACGACGTGGGTGCTCTCAAACGAGCAGACGTGGGCGTTGCTCTGCTCAACGCCGTGCCGCCTGCCCCTGCCGGCAAGAAGAGCACCGGGGACGCTGCTGCAGGTGGGACTGAGGACGAGATGGGTGGATGGGTGGGTGGATGTACAGGCTTTTGCACTGCTGCATGCCTTTCTAGTGAACAAAACTTCCGTTTTCGTACTCCTGCTTCCGAGCCCTCATGCATGCCGTTCTTCCCCTGCTCCCTGCCACATCGTGCTCCAAAGAGCCCCCCGCCCCTACCCCTAAGCCATCCCCTACTCTTCCCTTTCTTCCTTCTCCTCCCCGACTTGGAAAAGTGCTTCCAAGGCTTCTCAAAAAACACCCTCCCTCTCCTGCCTCCTTCCCTCCCCTCCCTAGGGGCTGCGAAGCACAAGAGGAAGCCAGGGCAACCGCACGCCACAGCAGCCATAGGAGGATCTGCAGGGGCCACGGCAGGCGGGTCCCTTGCTTCCGCCGCAGCAGGCAGCAGCACCGCCGCGGCTGCTTCAGCAGCAGCAGGGCCAGGAGGGGGCAACACACGGCTCTCCGCGCGTGAAATGCACCAGCGGAAGGTGAAGGAGCAGCAGGAGAAGCTGCAGAAGCTGATGAAAGAGCTAGAAGACGGAGGGGACGGGCGCGCACCGGTGGTAAAGCTCGGAGACGCATCTATGGCCTCCCCATTCACAGCCAAGCACGCCTCTGTGAAACCCACCCGGGACATCCTCCGCCAGGGCCGTGCGACGCTGGTTACCACGTTACAGATGTTCAAGATCCTGGGCTTGAACTGCCTCGCGACCGCGTATGTCATGTCTGTGATGTATCTCGATGGGGTGAAGCTCGGCGACACGCAGGCAACAATCAGCGGCGTGTTCACCGCGGCATTCTTCCTGTTTCTTTCCCAAGCCAAGCCGCTCGACACGTTGTCGAAGGAGCGCCCGCACCCGAAAGTCTTCTCAGCCTACGTCCTCATCTCCATCCTCGGGCAATTCGCCATCCACCTCACGTTCCTCATGACGGCGGTCTCCTGGGCGCAGACCTTCATGCCGGAGGAATGCATTGAACCGGACTCCACCTTCTCGCCTAACCTTGTCAACACGGTGTCGTATATGGCGAATATGATGATCCAGGTCGCGACGTTCGCTGTGAACTACATCGGGCATCCGTTCAACCAGAGCATCCGGGAGAACACACAGTTCTTCTATGCGCTCTCGGCCGCGGCGGTGTTCTTCACAGTGGTCGCATCGGACACGATTAGAGAGCTGAATGATTCTTTGGAGTTGGTGAAGCTCCCGCAGCCGCTGGGAGTGTCGATTCTCGGCATGGCTGCGGTCATGTTTGTGGCGTGCTACGCGTGGGAGCGGCTGCTGCGCTGGTGCTTCCCGGTTCGGGCTGTCGTGCTGCGGGGTTCTGGTGCGGCTGGGCGTGTGGGTGGGAAGGCTGTGGGTGCTGGCGGTGCTGGTGGTGTGGGTGGCAGTGAAAAGGGGGCGGGGGCTGTGAGGGAAGGAGCGAGTGGCGGTGTTGGGGATGGGATTCTGGGAAAGAAATACGCTTGATGGAAGAGAGGGGGGGAGAGAGGCGAAGAGAGGAGAAAGCGAGGCCGGGAGAGGGAGAGAGAGAGGGGGGAGACAGCTGCTTTGAGCGGCTAAATTGTTGCTGTGGGTTGATTGAGCACTACGTTCATACAGCAAACCCTCAAGCGTTAGGAGCATTGTGATGTGATTGGACTGCAATGTGAGGTGTGAATTGCATCGTGAAGTGCCAACACCACTGACTGCTTGTGACATAACACAAAGCAAAAGGATTTTCAGAGTCACAGGACAGCAGAGCTTGTACCGGTAGGCTTGTCGATGAAAAATTATACCGTATTGGCATTCGTAGCAGCAGAACATGGCAGGAATGTAAGCCAAAGTATGCGCTAACTATTGAAGGCAATCAGCCCTACACTACGTAACACGAATGCAGTCAGTTCAGTACATCAGTGACTTGTTTATTACCAGGAGAATCCTCCTCCCGTAATCGCTCTCATACGCCTATTCTGCCCCATTTCCTCAACACCTTTCGCCATTGAGGGTTCATCCCTCTCCCCCTCACAGCTGCCTTGCCTCCAATCTTCACCCGCGCGCCTGCAGCACCAAAACCAGCAGCAGCAGCAGCAGTACCACCAGCACCTCTTCCTGGTATTCCTCCTCTTGCTGCTCCTCGTGCTGCAGCTGCGCCCGCCTGCTGCTGCCGTCTCCTGCGCCACTGTCTTCGCTTCTTCTGCTGATGCTGCGGCCTCTCCTGCTGCTGCTGCCACGGTTGCTGTTGCATCTCCCACGCCCGAATCTGCTGCTCGTTATTCAGGGGCGTCCCATTGCCGCCATCAGCAGCAGCAGCAGCAGTAGCAGTAGCAGGTGCTGTGCGCGTGGGAGCAGCAGCAGGCGTTCTAGTCAAAGGGGCGGCAGGGTGGGTCACGGCTGGTCTGCGGACAGGGGGGGGTGTCACAGAAACAGGTTGCGTTGCGTCCTCCTCAGCGGTACAGTCGCTGCAGCAGGCTTCTGTGCTGGTACAGCAGCAGCGGGCCTTGGAGGAACAACAGCTGTGGGCCTTCGGGGAATAGCGGCACGCCTCTGAGGGACAGCAACAGCAGGCCTTGGGGGAATCACAGCAGGCTTTTGGGGAACAGCAGCAGCGGGCTTTGGAGCAACAACAGTCGTGGGCCTTTGGGGAACAGCAACCGGTGTCCGAGGAACAGCAGCAGCAGGCCTTGGGGGAATAACAGCGGCGGGCCTTCTAGGAGCAACAGCCGTGGGCCTCTGGGGAACAGCAGCAGCGGGCCTACTGGGAACGACAGCAGCAGGTCTGGGGGGAACAACAGCAACAGCCGGTCTTGGGGGCACGCGCACAGCAGCAGCACCGGGGGGTGTCCTGCTAGGGAGGCTCCCTGTGACAGGGGTGGTGGTGGTTACCGGAGGGGGGGTTACACGTGGCCGCTGTGTCGGGGTGGGGACAGTTGTTGCAGGGACCGGCACCCTGGGTTGGGTAAGGGGTCGGGTTACGGTGGGTCGGGTCACAGGCTTGGTGACAGGCTTGGTGACAGGTTTGATGACAGGCTTGGTTACAGGCTTGGTGACAGGCTTGGTGACAGGCTTGGGAAGGGGTCTGGCAGGGATGGGAGCGGCTGGAGCAGCAGGGGACGCACCAGGGGTTTTGGCAGGCAGAGGCAGGGGCCTACCGACTGGGGACCTGGGTATCGTCCCTGGGCTGCTTACAGGCACCTTCGGTACAGGAGGCTTCGTTACTGGCACCTTCGCTACAGGAGGCTTCGTTACTGGCACCTTCGCTACAGGAGGCTTCGTTACAGGCACCTTCGCTACAGGAGGCTTCGTTACAGGCACCTTCGCTACCGGAGGCTTGGTGGCAGGCGTATTGGGCACAGGTACCTTCGCAGGCACCTTTGGTACTGGGGCCTTCGCTACAGGAGGCTTCGCTACAGGCAACTTCGTGATTGGAGGCTTAGTCACAGGCACCTTCGGCACAGGTGCCTTCGCCACAGGCACCTTTGGTACTGGGGCCTTCGCTACAGGAGGCTTCGTTACAGGAACCTTCGTCACAGGAGGCTTCGTTACAGGAGGCTTCGTTACAGGGACTTTGGGCGCGGGAGTAGCAGGCTTGAGCGGCAGCTTAGGAGTCGGCTTGGGTACTGGTCGCTTCACCACTGGTTTAGGTGCCGGCTTAGTAGGAGGCACTGGTGTGGTCGAAGGAGAGGGAGAGGCAGTAGGAGTAGGGGAAGGGGAAGGGGGCTTCCTAGGCTGCTTCGCACTCCCGCCGCTGCCCTTGCCACCTCCCCCGTCACCCGCTCCGCCGGTCCCCCTCTCCTTGCGCTTCTTCCCCTTGCCCTTCCGCTGCCTCGAGTTCCCCGCGCCCCACATGGCGCTGACCGTGCGCGGACTCAGCCCGTCCCCCACTCCCCCTAGCAATTCCCCCGGGTCCACAATCCATCCAATATCGTTAATGTAGTTATTCGCAAGATAAGGCTGGATTTCCGCGGCTGTCATAATCTTGGCGTGTTTTGGCCAGCCGGAGGTATTGAACCCGGGACCTCTCACATTGTACACTCCAAAAGTGAGCGATTCCGCTTTTGTGTACCCGCTCACGAACCCCCACCCCTCCTCCCGCACCGCGTCCTTCGCGAAAAACGTGTTGGCGAATACGACCGTTGAGTGGTCGCCCCAGGAGCGCGCGAGGTAACCCGGGCGGATCGGCTGTTCGCTGCCGTACGGAGTGAGAACCCCCCCTCGAATGACGAACCCCGTCTCCTCGCCCGCGGCGCGCGCCTGCGCGAAGTACGCGCCGCCCCAGTAGACGAGGCGGAAGACGCAATCGTCGAAGACCGCCTTGGCGTTGCCGAATACGAAGTCCATGCGGCCCTGGATGACTGGGGAAGGGCGGCGGGAACGAAGGGGAGGAGGGTGGGGGGAGGGGGGGAGAAGAGGGGGAGAGGGGGAGGAGGGGGTGGGGGGGAAGAAGGGAGGGGGAAATGGGTGGGGAGGTGGAAGAAACTTGATTTGAGTCAAAAGATTTATGCGGCCCTGGATGACTGGGATGCGCGGAGAGGAGGAGGAGGAGGAGGAGGGGGAAGGAGGGTGGGGAGGAGGGAAGATGCGAAGGGGGGAATGGGGTGACGATGGGGGGAATCGGGGAGACCCACGTGTAATGGAATAATGAATGTGCTTTTACCGAAATTCAGGCCTTGACACGTCTCGAGACTAGACTCCAAAAGTCCCAGAAATGGGATCAATATGGTCTGTGAATGGGCCTATACCGGAATTCTGGCAGCAGCAAGGTGTTTTTTTTCTTTTCTTTTCTTTTTCCTCTTCTGAAAAGTCTCATTTCTCAAAGGTTCCTTGCGCGCTGCGCCGTACTCACCGCAGTTCTTGTAGTACTGCAGCCCGCTGTGCGCGTACAGGGTATCCTGGAGGGGAAAAGGTGGGGGAGACGGTGGGAGAGACGGTGGGAGGGAGCAGCGGGGGAGACGGTGGGGGGGGGGGGGAGGGGGAAGAGGCAGTGAGGCGAAGGGGGAATGAGGGCGAAGAAGAGACAAGGTTTGACGAGCAGCACCTGGTGTCCGAGGAAGGTGCGCGCACACTCAACAACTGGATACTGCGTGGTATGGAAGGGAGTAAACGTCTTTGAGTCGACTCGGTGTATGCATGGTGCAAGGGAAGGGGAGGGGGAGCAAGGCGAGCGAGGCGAGCGAGACGAGCGAGATGAGCGAGATGAACTGGGGAAACGGTACCTGGTAGCCGAGGAAGGTACACTCGTAGAACTGTATGCGCGTTCCCTTGACCATCAGCGCCACTGCTTGGTCCTCCTTGCTGCTCATGGTCGCACACACATGCATCATCGTCACCATGCGTCATGGTCACCATTGCCATCACGCATCCGTAACCAGGATTGTTCCATGCGATGCGGAGCAAATTCCATCCATGCATGCCACATGGGAAGGAAGAAGACATTCCAGGTCAAGCTTCAGAGCGACTCCGCACACCGTTTAGCACACTCGGTCCGTAAGTCCAACAACAAACAGAGAGAGAGAGAGAGGGCGAAGAAAAGAGAAGCACGCAAGCAAACAGGCAAACTACCCTGTCAATCCAACAGAATCGACTCCACCTCACCCGCCCTTCTGACCGGGGCCATGGCTCTTTTCAGAGGTGATGTGTTGCACTAGAACGCCTGTGACCCACATAGCTTGAACATTTGAGGCGCACTTACCCGCCCTTCTTCCCGGGGCCGTGGCTGTTCTCGAAGGTGATGTGCTGCACTAGGAAATCCGTGGCCCATAGCTTGAACGTGCTGCTCTCCTCCGTGTTCATTGTGACATCCGCGCCGTCCTCGCCCGCGTAATGCGCTGCCGTGATCTTCACGCCGCCGCCGCCCTTCTCGCCCACCAGCGCCACGTGGTGCAGCGACTTGGGCGTCTGCGCGGCACGCGGGGTAGCACGGCAGGGCACGACGGAAACATGGCATGACGACGGGACGGCAGGTGGAGGGGAGGGAAAAGGGGGGGCGTGGTGAGGCAGAGCGGAATTGCGAAGTGGGAGAAGGACGTGTGTGCGTGATTAACAAGCCAAATCCTGTTTGCATATTTGAACAGTGCGGAATAACGGCATTCACGAACTATATGGAACGATTTATTATATACCTCCCTCCCTCCGTCCTAGCAATGCGAACTATAAGTCACGCGGTGCAAACTCAAGAAGACTTGGAAGGCTTGTGAAAGTCTTACAGTAGGGGTTTCGTTATACACTCCTGCTTTTATGTAAATAATGCTGAATCGGCCACGCCGTCCAGAAGATGCGTTATCGAGCGCCTCCTGCAACGCGTACAACGCGTAAGGAGACAGAGCGGACGGACCCACATTAGACACGTGCGACGGCTGGGAAAGCGCTTACAACAGCGTCATACGGAAACACGAGCGCGATTCTTTTGATATGCCCGACTATTAGACAGGTCCTTTCTTTTGGCTCTCAAAAAGAGGCGCTCCGTCGGAAACCAGCGACCATTCAGAATT